TTTTTAATATTTGTTTAATGGCATCTTTTTTATGATGGCCAGTATCACTGATACCAATTAATACTGATTTCCCTATAAAAAATCCCCCCTAATATTTAACCATTGACTATAGCCATTCAACATTACATTATAATTAAGAGCTATCAATTTTAACATTTATTAGACTTTAAAACTAACTTCTAATTTAAGTGAACTTAAAACAATCTTCACATAAACCCCTTTATAATAAATGTCATATTTAGCTAGGCTACCTGTGCCCCTCAGCAGAAATATACAGCAATTGAATAAAGTTATCAAACACTAAATTCTAAACTAAATACAGATGAATCCTTAAAGCTATAAAAGTTATTGACTTCCTCTTTTTTCTTTTATTTTTGATGAACAGACATCACAGCAGCTGGTTATTAGGTTGTTTTGGCTGCTATTTCTTTAAGAGCTGCCGCTGCTGAACGTGAAGCGGATCTAACACGCATCGTATTTTCTCTCTTTACCTTTTCTGACCCATTTCAAGTCTTGAAGTCCTCTACTAATGAACTGACGAGTTGAATTGAGTGTGTTACATGAGAGAGAGACCGTGCTGGGCTGCTCCAGGACAGTTTGGAAAACCATTTCAGATACATATTCTTAAATGTGACTCATATATAACATATTACATGCATGCACAGATTTATGGCAGCTTTAATCGCCTTTTTGGTAACTTCATGCCTTAACTGACCACGACATTGCATGCACGTGATTTGATATGAAATGATACAGGGCCAGGCAACAGCGCGCGCCGGCGCCTTTGTGCATGCAATTGAAGATCACACACTGTGAGCACAGTACAGTTTCCACGCTCGTTTGACTCACGCCTGCCGCTGAACTGAAGTGGAGCGCACATCTGAAACGTCTCCGGTTTGATGTGGTCATAAAGACGTTCTGCGACTGAATAAATGCACTACTTGTCAAGAAAAATAGAGACAGAGGCAGCAGTTATGAGTGGGGTGGCCTACCCTAGGCTCCGCCTCTGCGTTAACGGCGTTAAATAATTTTAACGCGTTAAACTGAAAAAATTAACACGCTAATTTTGACAGCACTACAAAAAACACTTTCATTGTCTTATAATATGCATTTATTTTTGCCTTATTTGCTCAACGACTTTTATTTTTACCTTATTTGCTTTTGATGAATTCCGAGAGCTTTCTGACCCTGCATAGAAAGCAACGCAACTGACACGTTCAAGGCCCAGAAAGGTAGTAAGGACATTGTTAAAATAGTCCATGTGACATCAATGGTTTAACGTAAATTTTACGAAGGTACGAGAATACTACGGCATAATTCCGGCATAACTGTGTTTTAGCAAGTGACAACAGTGTACCAGTTCTAACGCCATGGCAAAAGTTCAAGCAAAGCATGCTAACTTTTCTGTCTTTGGCTGGACTGACAAGCACATAACACTATTTAGAGTCCCAGACTCGGAGGATACAAGAGAGTGGTGGATTTATTGATTTATTTACTGTATATTGCTGCTGCCACACAGATCTAATATAAACACAATTTATTTCCCAGCTGTTTACCTTCACAGACATAACCGACTGTTTTTGTAACTCGTGTGTTTTTAACAAACTTGTGTGTATTGACAGTTTATGCGCAATAAGACATGAAAGAGAACTTATTTTAGTACTCGCATGCCGAGTGACAGCCGCTTTCTGTGCGTGTGCTTCGGATGTGTGCACTCAGAAATCCATATATCAGAAGTTTAAACTAATATGGTTTAAAATGCATGATTTCAATGCGATAGACATGATAATCAAAACCAAACGGATGTTTTTTGGCAGAATATTTGAGGTAAAAGCTGTAAAGGCACAGCCCTATTCTGGAAAAGGGGGAGGGAAGCAGCAGCTCATTTGCATTTAAAGAGACTAAATGCACGAAAAAAAAGCGCGTTTCTGCTTCCACTCAAAATAGACATTTTCAAAATTATATAATTAATGATTTGTGGGGTATTTTGAGCTGAAATTTCACAGACACATTCTAGGGACACCTGAGACTGAGGCCCTGTTTACACTAGTGCATTTTCGTTTTAAATTGCTGTTTTAAAATGAAAACGTTCCTCATCTACACTGGTGTTTTCACTGCATTTCAGAAACGATCTCCGTCCACACTACACAATCGAAAACACATGCCACATGACCATTTATACAGGTACAACCATAGATATATAGGTAGATTCCCTATTATTTAGACGGCGGATGCATCTACGTGCTTGGAGCGGTCGAATGGGGAATCTACCTATAAAAATCTATGGGTACAACAATGAGCAGGATGTTATTGTTTACACAGTTGTCAAGGATATGCAGAGCGAATGTTGGCATCCATGCATCAGTTTCAAAAGTCTCTGTTTTAGTCCGTTTCTTAGGTGCCGATTTATGTTTTTGCCGGTGGGTGCTTTCAAAACCTTTCAGGACCTTTTCAAAAATCCTGGTAAATTTGTTCTGGCAATCATATCGTTCTTATGGAGATGACATGATTACTCTGAGCTGTTTACAAAGCTCCGCTGCTTTTTAATTAGTTTTTCTATGTAAATAGGTGCTAGATGGACATCTTTGACCATTGCGCCTTGCAGCTTTTTCAACGTGTCGCAACATCATCTTACGACCTGTTTTACTGGGGCTATTAATAGACCTCAGTTCATTGGTTTTTACAGATTTCAGTTCCGTCACGTGCACACGTTCAGGGTCAACTCTGGGGAAGTTGGTTCTCTTAAAATTTCTGCCGTGTTTGCACGTTAAATGGCAGAATGATTCCCATTTTCTCATTTAACATATCATTTTAGAGCACATCTGTTGACTCAGTGGTCATCTTGGACCATTTCCAGTCATGCACAGTTCCTGTCTATATATAACCCCAATTCCAGAGAAGTTGGGACGTTTTGTAAAATGCAATAAAATCAAGAATCTGTGATTTTTTTTAAAAATTCTCTTTAACATTTATTTAATTGATAAAAGTACAAAAAAAAAGATTTCCAAAGTTTTCACTGACCAACGTAAATGTACTTTGTAAATCTGAAAAAAAATTGTTTTTGATGGCTGCAACACACTCCAAAAAAGTTGGGCAGAGGCAAAATAAAAGTAAAAAGGTTATAGAATATCCACGTTAAACTGTTTTAAAACAGTTCACAGTAAGCAGGTGAATTGGTAATAGGTCAAGGTATCATGTTATATACATTGTATATAAGGAGCATCTCAGTCTTTGCAAGCAAAGCTGGATCATGGCTCATCACTTGACACTTTGAGAAGCCATTTATACAGGTACAACCATAGATATATAGGTAGATTCCCTATTATTTAGACGGCGGATGCATCTACGTGCTTGGAGCGGTCGAATGGGGAATCTACCTATAAAAATCTATGGGTACAACAATGAGCAGGATGTTATTGTTTACACAGTTGTCAAGGATATGCAGAGCGAATGTTGGCATCCATGCATCAGTTTCAAAAGTCTCTGTTTTAGTCCGTTTCTTAGGTGCCGATTTATGTTTTTGCCGGTGGGTGCTTTCAAAACCTTTCAGGACCTTTTCAAAAATCCTGGTAAATTTGTTCTGGCAATCATATCGTTCTTATGGAGATGACATGATTACTCTGAGCTGTTTACAAAGCTCCGCTGCTTTTTAATTAGTTTTTCTATGTAAATAGGTGCTAGATGGACATCTTTGACCATTGCGCCTTGCAGCTTTTTCAACGTGTCGCACTTCTCCATTCATTAGGGCTGTGGCCAATCTGCAATTGGATACTATTATTATAAGGAGCATCTCAGTCTTTGCAAGCAAAGCTGGATCATGGCTCATCACTTGACACTTTGAGAAGTGTCAAACAAATAAAAAATCACATTTTGCAATGCAAAATTGCAAAGAAATTTGTCTTTCACCAAGTACCATACATAATATTGTGAAAAGATTCAGGGAATCCAGAGAAACCACAGTACATGTAGAGCAAGGCAGGGAACCTCAGTTGAATGTGCTTGACCTTTGAGCCCTTAGATGGCATTACATAAGAAACTGTCATGCTGCGGTGTGAAATATAGCCACATGGGCTCAGGAGTACTTCAGAAAATCACTGTCATTTACCACAGTCTGCTGCTGCATCAAGAAATGCAACTTGAATATCTGTTACTCTAGGAGAAAGCTATACATCAATTCTATGCAGCGATGCTGCCGGGTTTTCTGGGCCAGAGCTCATCTCAGATAGTCAAAAAGACAGTGAAAATGAGATACTCAGATGAGTCGACATTTCAACTTGTTCCTGGGAAAAATGGATTTCGAGTTCTCAGTCCCAAAGACAAAAGGGACCATCCAGACTTTCATTAGCGACAGAAGCAAAAGCAAAAGTCTGTCATGGTATGGGGGTGCAGCAGAGCAAACAGCATTGGGTGACTGGCATATGTGCGAAGGTACTATTGACATGGAGGCATATACTAGGATTGTACAGAGACATATACTGCCATCAAGATGATGTCTTTCATGGGAAGTCCATGGTTATTAGATCAAGACAATGCCAGGTCTCATTCTGCATGTGCTACAACAGCGTGGTTTCGTAGAGACTGAATGTGCTAGACTGGCCTACCTACAGTCCAGATCTGACTCCTATTGAAAATGTAAATGAATATGTGTCATGAAAAGGAGAATCAGACAACGACGATCACAGACTGCTGAGCTTTTGAAGTCTTGTATCAAGCGAGACTGGACAAAAATTTTGCTTGCAAAACTTTAACAATTAGTATCCTCAATTCCCAAACAATGAAAGATTGTGTCACATCAACCTTCCTTTTATTTACAATGTTAAACATGCCTCAGTTCCAAATTTTTTGGAGTGTTGCAGCCATCAAAATCAAAATTTGTTCATATTTACAAAATACATTTACGTTGGTCAGTGAAAACTTTAGAAATCTTTTCTTTGTACTTTTGTCAATTAAATAAAAGTTAAAGAAAATGAACAAATCACAGATTTTTGATTTTATTGCATTTTACAACATGTCCCAATTTCTCTGGAATTGGGGTTGTATATATATAATAAGCTGCAAAATTGCTCAACCAGACAAAGTAATCACTTACACCTGAAGTACCTCCCCTTAACACAAATGCTCAATCTTAGTTTCCAGTAATCTGGCAGCACACTTCGACTATGACACAATCCCTTCTGTAGCTGTCGGGCTCATGTCAGCCTTGCCTTTAGTACACAATGGCACTTACTGTACCGCCACATGACTCATGAGACGGTTACAGTGAGCACAAAGCCCATACATAATCTCAGCACCCTGTCTCTCGCTTTCTAATCCTCTTTTACTCTGTCATTCCTCTTTTCTCGCTCTCTTTCCTCCACCTCTCAGAAGACTGACCCACTGTGCAGTTAGCCGTGTAGACACAGAGCAGTTCCAGGGCTGCTGTCATGGTGAGATCGTCGAGCAGGAACCAGGGCCACAGAGCCATCAGCACCGCTGCCAGACACAGCTCTGTAGCCACAGCCTGTTGAGACAAAACTTGGCGGCATCAGTCAATACTGCATATTTAAGTGCATATTTTGAAAATCTCAAAATGAACTATATTTCTAAATTAATTCATACTATTTTTTTCCACATTATTATACTAACTCAATGATAATTTGTCAGGGACTGCAATCTGCCCGTGGCACATGTAAATAATATTATTAATATTAATAATAAATTTTTTTTTTTACTTTTTTCCCACATTATTACACTAGCTCAGGGCTGTTTGCTTTCACTTAAGACTACCATCAGGGACTGCAATCTGCCTGTATGGCTAAATCTGACGCATTTACATGTACAGCTGATGTCAACAAACTTAATATAGATGAGGTATTTTTTTTCTATTAACTTGCATGTCATATGACCAAAAAAAAAAAAATTTGTTGAAATTATTCAATATTAAACAATTATTAAAAATAATAAACAATTATTAAAACTATTAAAATATATATATTATTAAAAATAGATTATTATTTTAAATAATTAAGATTTTTGCATGTACTCAGGTTTTCCATTGATTTGGGAAAAATTATAATTAAATTACACACACACACACATATATATATATATATATATATATATATATATACACATTT